CCGGAGAGTTATCGTAATGGAGAAGGCGATGATGACGTTTAGGGCATTCGTTTATTCCACATACCTGCCCATTGCATGGCCAACGTGCGTGAGCTGTAAGACATCGACCACACAGCCTGTTCTCCTTCACTATTTTCCAGCGATCGTCAAGAGAAAGTCTTTTGAACACGCCACAATTCTCTATTTGGTGACCTCTGTTTTTACATGATGGACATGATTTCGAAGCGGCCGAGTTGTTTCCCACCTCGGACGGTTTGAACGATTGTTCTGCATCTGCTGACTGCTCCTTTCTACCAGCTTCCTTCCACTTCTTTGGTGACTCCGGGTTAGAATGGGCGTTAATGTAAGCACGTTCTTTCCCCTTCGCTCGATCATCTCTTGCCACTTTCGGTATACTTCCACTCCATGACACCACACCACTCGCTGCGGATACAACGTTCGCCATATATTCTCCGAAGGTGCTGAGGTCTACTGCTGGCTGCTGTTGCTGGTACAGCGCCCAGTTGAACTTGACTGAAGTTGGCAACTTTTCTACTAGCTCCTGAAGTAGAATGGGATTCGAAAGATGGTTCTCCAATCCTACAGCTTTCAAATGCCCACACAAGTTTTGAACCACCAAACCAAAACTCACCAGTGTTTCAAGCTTATCGTTCTTCGGAGCTGGTGTACTACGAACCTTGTTAATCAAGCTCTGAACGATTTGCTCCGGCCTACCATACAAAAGCTTTAGCGTCCCTATTACTTGAACTACTGTAGACGGATGCAGAAGGAAACTACTCACTGCTTCCTTGGCACTACCCTTCAAACACTTCTGAAGACGCAATAAATTTTCGGAATCTGAATAGCCACAAGCCTGTGTAGAATGGCTGTAGCTACTAATGAATAATGGCCAATCTATAGGGTCACCCGCAAAAATGGGCAATTCCCTACTGATTACCTGTCTAGCAGCTAGTTGCTGAGATGCTGGAGTAATCTGGAAGTGAGGTGGACAGTTCCTCGTCCTAGGGGAACCTGAGACCAATGGGACGGGAGGATACCATTGGTTTTGTGGATGATATGGTCTAAACGAAGGTGTAGCCGCACGAAATATCGGAAATTCGTTTTCCGTACCAGACTGGGTTCGCCCTCCCATAGGGGTTGATTGAGATACCTGAGAGTTCCAGTCAAGAATGCAGTGGTCACCTGGATGTGGCCGAGCACCACCTTGCGACGTGTCTTCCGATTCCAGACCTGGAGAGGGTTGTTGTTGACGTGCTTGAGCTTCCATGGACTGTCTATACTCTTGCTCCAGCTTGATAAGACGTTCCAGTTCCTGATCCCGCTCTGACAACTCACGTTGATGTTGTTCGTTGAGCAAACGCTGCTCGTGTTCTCGGTGATGTAACTGTTCTTCCAACAAGCTCAAGTCACATCGCCTTTGCTCGATAACCCGAATCTGTTCTTGCGCACGACGTTGGAATTCTTCCAATCTAGCCAAATCGTGCCGTCTTTGTTCATGTAATCTGCATTGCTCTTGCTCATGGCGTTGCAGCTCCTGTTCCACATCGCGTTGTTTCTGAAGGTCTTCGTTTCTCTGTATCGTTAGCCGGTTCAGTTGGTTAACCAGCTCTAATTCACGTTTGCGACGAATATTGTTCTCCTCTTTGTGTTTTTGCTCGAGTTCTTGAGTACGGGAACGCCATTGCTCGTAGGTTGGTTGATTTCGGAAGACCTTTGGAAGAGTGCCTGTCTTCGATTTGGTCATTACTGGATCATGCAGTAAAACGTTGAAAGGACCAACGTCAACGAACGGTACTATTTGTGAGTTTATATTTCTCTGTGACCCACCAACAGCTCCAATCACACCATCCGAGTCTTCCTCTGCCGTCTCACCGATCGCCATGCTCCCCGTGGTGCGAGGTATTGATTCCATTCTCAATCGTGAACGAACTGGTGCAGGCTGGACCATCCCAGCAGCAGTATTGATGTTTCGGTTAGGTATAGGTGTTGAAGTTGCATGAACATCGGCGGCAACTATTGGATTTGCCATCAACTCCTGCTCAGCATCTTTTGTGAGGATTTCCAACGACTGCTCTACGAAATCGGTCTTCTCGGTGATCGTAATTACGTCATTTATCCAGTTCTGTACTATACTTTCTTTGTCATGACGGCTTTGTTGACTGCGGTGACTATTCGAAGTTCGTGATCCCTCCTGTTCATCTTGCTGCTTCAGTAAGTCGAACTTCTTGGCGAGATATTGCTTTTCCCGATCGTATTTTTCCTTTCTGGCCTTTTCCTGCTGTGCTTGTTCTTCCTGGTGCATTCTTTCCATTAGCTTCCTCTCCTCATTGAGACGTTCTAATTCACGACCGATCCTCGCCTGTCGTACGCTTGAGGTTGTAGTGTGACTCGTGACGGAGCTCGGCTGCTTGATCGGAATCCGCGGAATACACAAGGAACACATAAAGACCTCTTTCTGAACGGTGGACTGTCTGACATTGGCGCAAGAAAGGTGATACCAACGAGAACAGTCCCGACATTGAACCATGTACAGTTCAGCATTGTTGGGTTTGTCACAACCACCACATTCGATCTTATCTCCTCCTTCAACATCGATAATAGACGGCTCGAACGAGCTTCGCGACAAGCTTTCCTCCTCCAGTGAATCTCTCTCAGCTGCGAGGTTAGGGGTTTCAGCGTCTATCGCGGCTCGCACTCTCGAACGCGTCTGCCGAATAGTCGAATACCTGTTGGTGGTGGACATCCCAAATTGTCGAAATTCTTCGAGTTTTCTGTTGACGAAGTAATTTTCGGAGATTCTGTGCAGCAAAACTCGTTTTTTATGTGAGTTAGCTCGAAGCTGTAAATGTATAATTTATTAGATTTTGCTTTTGTTTGCAATTTACCTTCATACAATTTGTCTCCAATTAGTGTTTGTATCGGCAACAGAATAAACTAGATTTTATATTGTGTAGCAAGTTAATCTATAAGTACAATACAATTAGTTATTTCATCAGTTTTAATTAGGATAATAAATTCACCGGAAAAACGTTGTATAACTCACTACTGCGTATAATGACAACAATATAATTCACTTATTTTCAACGTTAACAAACTGACAATAGAACCTACTTTGACGTAAGGGCAGTTGGCTCATTTGGATGAACCGAGGGGTATAGTGGGCAACGTGTTGCCGGAACAATTAGGTATTTGAATTTTTTGAAGTTCTTAGGAGTTCTGAGAAATGATGAATTTTCAGAATATTTTTCAAATCTTGCTGTTTTTAATGGTTAGTAAGTTCAGAAGTTATGTGGTTTGGAAGATTGTTATTTTTTAGAGAATGTTTCAATGAATTCCCAATTTTGCTAAAGTACAAGAAGTACCAGAGTATGAAGTTCTAAATGTTATAGGAACTCTACAGTTATTGTAGTCGTAATGAACGAGAATTTCTTGGTGTTCCGCTATTGGGATGTCCGAAAGTTCCTGTAGTTCTGAGAGTAGCTGAGTTTTAAAAGTTCACAGAGTATCGGATTTTCTTTTTTCAGTTTCAGCAGTTGCCGAGGAGTTCTAAAAGGTCTAGATTCATTGTTTCGAAAAATTCTGAATTTTTTTGTATTCCTTGATGTTCTCGGAATTCTAAGAGTTCATAGATTTCATTGAAGACTGCCAATAATGCGCGTAGTCGAAAAGTATAAGTTAACACGTACCAGTAGTAGGAAACGTTAGCCCGATTCTGTGATTAGTTAATTACATCATTCAAGCTGTTCAAAATTACATTTCCTGCCACTCGATAAAACCATAGAGGTAACTCTATGACCAGCAGGTCCCGAAGAAACGTGCTCAACTTTTTGGCTCAGCTCTAGTACTATCTTCGGTCCCAAGCTAATCGATGCACCCCTCGAAACATAGGAAAATCCATGAACCCCTCATTTTATCGGTCAAACTTTCATATCGAATCCAAACAAACATAGTGTAGTACTAGAATTTCAATAAAATGGGGTACGCTAATCGATTTGCTTGGGACCAATAGGCTAGTCAAGTAGTGAGCCAATTTAAAATCGTTAGTTTCCACCGGTTGATAAAACTCTCTAAAAATACACTTTTGGTTATGCTCTTCCTAAAAAATATTAACTCGTTACGTCATTTCCATCAAATCGCTGGCAGAAGATCATCCCAAAACAGCTCGACTATGTGAATAATTTGATGTTTATTTATGTGTCACATGATCATTATTGTGGGAAAGCCTATTAAAGCTGGAAACAATTCCTTATTTTCCTTAAACAGGTGAATGGAATCGATTATTATGGCGCATTCAGTCAATATCTTCAAAACTGTTAAGAAACTTTCTTACGAGCTTTTTGACGTACCAGTGGTCAATCTTGACTTCATCTACCATCAAATCCAAATGGCCAATCCTGTCAAAATCGATACTAACTACCCGAAACTCAATACACAATTTGACTATAAAAAACATATAGATTTGATCAAGAGTACGTTACTCAAGTAGACTTTGAAAACCGGGTCCGTATGACCCGTAACACCGTAATTCACCACTCAAATTTAACACAGATCGAACTTTAAGGGCATCAATAGTTGCGTCTAGAATTTGAAGTCTATGATGTTGCTCTGGGTTCAACGCCTCTGTTAAAAAAAACGCCATTCCATCCGTGTCGTGCTCGGTGACTACTTCGGCTCGATACAATTCGTTACCACCGTTAGAAAAGGAGCATCACGTACACGTTTGTAATCATGTGCATTTACAGTTTACCTGTCGTGGATTTCGGCCTATACTCTGTTCCCATTTGCTCGCTGCTGACTGACTGATGCGGATTAGTTTTAACTTATTTTCAAATTGTAAAGCGGGAGAATCACAACAGTGACCATCCTTATCAAAATTTATTATTTAGTGTTTAGTGGTAGGTACTCGTTATCCTATCTGTTTTCGCTTTTCGTAGATTGAAAGCATCTAGTTCTGAGCGCGAACTAATATTTCCATTTTATTTTACCACTACGATAAACAGACGTCGATGATGTCAAGTACGTCATCAACTTTGATTTCCCGAACAACACGGAGGACTATATTCATCGCATTGGTCGAACTGGCCGCTCAAACCACAAGGGTACATCATACACATTCTTTACTCCAGCCAACGGCTCGAAAGCTCACGATTTGATCGGAGTACTAAAGGAAGCAAATCAGGTTTGCGTCTTGACCAATCGTCTTCAATGATTCTTTCCCATACTAAATATCCATTTCCATCTACAGTACATCAATCCGGAGTTGGAGCAATACGCCCGCAGCGGTGGTGGTCGCAATCGTGGTGGCGGCCGTGGACGCTTTGGTAATAGTGGTCGTGATCGTCCGATGAGAAACGATTTCAAAGGACGTCGCGGTGACGATTACCGCAGTGGAACTGGAGATGATCGTGGACCGAAATTCGCTCGTCGTGATGACTATGGTAGTGGAAACCGCAACGATTATGCATCTAGGAATGGCGGATTTGGAGGAAACAAGGATCGAGATGGTGGATTCAAATCCAATGGTTTTGGTGCATCCAACGATCGTGGTGGTTATGGTTCTCGTGACAGCTCAAAGCCCAGCTCTGGATTTGGATCTAGCTCTGCCGATAAATCTGCTCCATATGGTGGCCACGATTTACGTTCGAGTGGATATAGCGCACGTCAGCAAAATGGAACAAGCGGTGGATTTACCGGAGGAAGCGTGACACTTCCGAACTTCAGCAAACCACCTCCAACGTTTGGAGCACCAGCAGCAGGAGGTTTCACTACTCCACCTCCTCCCACTCGTCGCCCGGAAGAGAGACAACGTCCACCACTTGCCAGCACCATTGGCAGTTCATTTGGATCTATGAGTACTGGTGGTTACAGCGCAAGCAACACGTCCAGCATCCCGAGCAGCACTGTCCAGTCTCGTCCGTATGGATCTCGAGCTAGTGTTCCATCGGCAGTTGCTAATGGCATGTGAAGTACATTCTCCATAGTTTGAAGTGAATAACTTATAGTGGAGAAAGATGATTTATACTGAAACAACAATGTATGTCCTAATATGTAAGTCATTCTACCTTTCCGTTATTGCCACAGTAACAACGCAAGACAATTCAATTCGGGTGGTTTTCATTAGTTGAAAGTTTTTTTTTATCCACATTATTATGTATCTGATTCTGAATGGCAGCATTCAACAAGATCCTGCACTTGAGATATTTAGAAAGTATATTTTATTTTAGCATGTAACTAGCTGTAAGTCAAACAATCTTCACAAAAATGAATGAATAAATGTATTGAAAACGTAACAATTTTGGATTACACTGTTTTAATCATCTTCGAAATAATTCCTCATTGTAGGCAGGGTAAATACTGACTTTGACAGTGCCTATCATGTCTATTATCGTCAGGAAATAAATGGAGTCCATGAGTGCTAATTTAGCCTTTAATGTTTTGCTTGAGGATGAAGCATGTTTCTGTGCATCGTTTGCCCAAAACTGAGCGATCGGTAGACATTGCTCATCCCCCATCACCAAATAGGTAAAGGTATTTGATGTATCAGCACTTCCTGTGTGTACCCGATAAGAGAAATCAATAAACGATTTGCTCATTGAAATTTGAACGTGCATAAGTAAACGTCTTGGTGTTATACTTTGCCTATCAGAAGCCTCATATTACCTTGAGTACTGCGAACTAGCTCAAAATGCTTGTCATCTGGGAGCCAAACATTCAGAGTTTCCAGTCTTTTTAATATGTTGTCTTCGATAGGGGTGAATAACTGATGCTTAAACACTGGCCAGACTGCCACTTATATTCTGGCACAGTTGCCAGTCTTCTTGAACTGATGTCTTCGTCCCTGTTCTGCTTTCCATTCGTTATCTATATGTATGGGAAATCCGTTTCAAACGTAATGCGTAATAGGGGTGATTACAATGACGAACAAGATAAGAAAAAAGTTTAAATTCGCGTGTTACTCTCTATCCCCGTGGTTTAGTGCATCGAAATGATGGTTGTAGTATGCCGCAAGGGCAATTAAAAATCCGATGCCCAATATGTCTCCGTACTTTAACTATCTTTTGACATAGGACTACAGTCACAGACCGTACTATAGGAACCGGCTTTAACGCATACACGTAGCATATGGGATTAGAGCTAATTGCGACCAAACACTGATTGTACGGCAATTTGAAGAGATAACTGTAGTAGACAAGGGCGTAGCCAGGTTTCGAGCTAGGGTGGGGCGAAAAAAAAATTACCATGGAAAATTTGGCCGAATGCCATTTCACCGAACGCCATTTCCTCGAAAGCCTTTGTGTTGCCGAGTTTAGGGGGGGGGGGCAGTCGACCCCCCTGCCCCTATCTGGCTACGCCTATGGTAGTAGATAGAGTTAATGATGAATAAATAATGAGTAGAATCAAGTGAGCGTGAAGCGTGATAGTCCCGTATGTAAACGGAATCTCATTGGTTAGAGAATTTTGATAGGTTAGCAGGTATAAATATGAAGTACCTAAGCTCGTTGAAGTCACCAACATCAGGGATGGGTCATCAGTGGCCCTCCGGAAAGACATCATCAAACTCACCCGGAGAAGCGGGAACTTTATCATCGCTGGCGATCTGAACGCAAAACACCAAGCTTGGGGCAACGGTCGGAGCAATCGAAACGGCACCATCCTGAATGAAGACCTGCAAGAGGGCCACTATACCATCTTGGCCCCGGACTCTCCCACCCGGTTGAGTCGGTCTGGGGTCCATGCGACCATCGACATCTTCGTAAGCAACATGGGACACAACATCTCGCAACCTGTGGCATTCCAGGAGCTGAGCTCGGACCACTACCCGGTGGTGGCCGACGTTGGATCCTCGGTAAACCGATTCGAAGCTTCCCGGCGCAACAACACTGCGTCGACACAACCATCGGCTACGATGTCCAACCGGGGACGTCCGAATATGTTGACCGGTGTCTACAAACCATCGAGGAGGCGATTTCCCGGGCCAGAGAACAACACGTGCCTGTATCCAGACAGGTGAGTAACACTCTGAACCTTGACAGCCCTACCAAAGATCTCATTAGACTCCGTAACACAATTCGAAGGCAGTACCAGCGTACTGGCCTGCCTAACTTGAAGACCAATTGTAATCATGAGAGAGAGAAGGATTAGTATTTTCCATTTAATTCCACTACTTTATTTGCTTATCCTTGACAGATACGCGTATTTCGTCTACAATGTGCAGACTTCTTCAGTGTCTTGTACTAATACTCGACTGAAGAAAAACATCGCATTTACCGAATATATATTAACACAGGTACATTAGCTGCGATTACCAAGACGCTTCCAACAACATCACAGAATACGGTTAGGACTATCACATCGAACATAATCAAGGACGGACAGGACGGACGCGCCAACGAAAAAGAAATTCGGATTGTAAAGGAGCTAAAAAGTAAAGCAGTATACTACGTAAAGGCAGACAAGGGAAACGCGGTCGTTATCATGGACAAGGACGATTACGATAATCAAATGACAACGAAGATTAACAACGGACCGTATAGACAGCTTCGAGTAGACCCCTTACAGAACATAGTAAAACGCGTGGAGAAAGCACTGAAGGAGTGCAAATCGATATTAGGAGATGGAGCAGGTCGTATACGGGAACCCAATCCCATTCTACCCAGGATCAAAGGTCTTCCCAAAGTCCACAAATCAGGAAATGAAATGCGAGAGATCGTGTCTGCAGTTGGTTCCCCCACCCACAAACTAGCGAAGTGGCTAGTCAAAGAGTTCCAGAGTATGCCGAATCAGTTCCAGAGTAAAGCAGTTAGTAACACCCAGGAGTTCACCCAGCAACTACAATCTTCAGGAGACATCAACGAGGACGAGATTATGGTATCTTTCGACGTCACAGCTCTTTTTCCCAGCGTACCGGTCAAGGAAGCGATCAACCATTTGGAGGACTGGCTATTAACACAACGAGAGGATGCAGCATGGAGAAACAAGGTTCGGACGTACCTTAAGCTGACCCGCCTTTGTATGGAAGAGAACTACTTCTCTTTCCGAGGTAACTTCTACAAGCAGACGAAAGGAGCCCCAATGGGAAACCCCCTATCCCCCTTCTTGTGTGAACTTTTCATGGCCAATTTGGAGACAATCCTGAAGGAGAAAGGACTATTACCAAACCGTTGGTGGAGGTTTGTTGACGATATCTTCAGCGTAGTTAAACGGGAAGCCCTTCCACAAATTTTAGATGAGATCAACAGAATTCATAAGGATATCAAATTCACTCACGAGGTAGAAAAAGACGGGAAACTCGCATTTCTCGATCTTCTAGTCATCAGGGAATCGTCATCATCTTCCTCGCTTGAATACGAAATTTACAGGAAACCAACAAGCACCAAAAGAGTTATCCCCTATACTTCCAACCATTCGTTCCAGCAGAAAATGGCCGCCTTTCACCACATGATTCACCGAATGCAGACTCTTCCACTCAGCGATACAGTAAAGGTTAAGGAATTACAGTACATCTTCGAAACAGCAAGACTCAACGGATACAAGGAGACCACAATCCAGGCAATCATCGATAAAAAAGCGAGAATTCTACAAAGGAGATTATTTACAACCCTCACCACAGCACCTGAACCATTGAAACGAGTGTCCGTTCCATTTGATCAAGATATTACTTGTAAACTAAGACCACAGTTAAAACAATTCGGATTAGATTTAGTTTTCACCAGTAGACATAACCAGTTGAAATCATTGTTAGGATCCACTAAAGACCCAGTTAATGTTTTAGGTAAAGCAGGTGTATATAAAATAAGCTGTAATCATTGTAACAAAATATATGTAGGACAAACCAAGAGAACTTTAGCAACTAGATTTAAAGAACATATAGCGGAGGTTAATAAGGCCAAAAAGCAAGAAGAAAAAGGCCTAACATATGATTTCAAATCAAAGGTTGCAGAACACATCTTCACAGAGGACCACCAACTATCGACGGAGGACATCACGATTTTACGAACCGTATCTACACCATGGAAATTGGATGTTGCAGAAAGCCTCGAGATCAACAAACAACGTAATTCAACTTTACTCAACAGGGATCAAGGAAACGGACACACATGGCTTTTCAAGTTACTACCTAGGACACATCAACGAGTAAGCAGCGGAGTACCTGTTCCTATAGAAAATTAAATTTAAGTTTACCTAGTTTCTAAGTGAAAATGTACCTGTGTTAATATATATTCGGTAAATGCGATGTTTTTCTTCAGTCGAGTATTAGTACAAGACACTGAAGAAGTCTGCAGATTGTAAACGAAATACGCGTATCTGTCAAGGATAAGCAAATAAAGTAGTGGAATTAAATGGAAAATACTAATCCTTCTCTCTCTCATTATACAGGTATTTCACTAAGACGCCCACATTCATCAGGATTCAATTGTAATCGATTAACATAGATCATTCAGGCCAGGATGGTGGATCTCAAAAATAACGATTTTGCTAGTAAGATCCGCTCTCTCCCAGATTGTGCTAAGCCCTTCTGGAAACTTACAAAAATTCTTAAAAACAAGCCTAGGTCCATTCCACCACTGACCCCACTGGATCGTCCCGGCGACCCAGTGGTTCATCTGCTAACTCCTGAAGAGAAGGCTGCCGCGATAGGTCAACACTTCGTCAGGTCCCATAATCTCGGACAAAACATCGTCAGCCCTCATGAATCTGAGGTTGCAGAAAATGCAACCAATCTTCTTCAGATTCCTAACATTTTTCCAGAGGAATCCGAGATTACGGCTGACGAACTGTTGGCCTAAATCAAATCATCTAAAACATGAAGGCCCCAGGTTTCGACAACATCCTGAATCTGAAACTCAAACACTTGAGTTCCAGATTCTAGAACCATCTGGCACTGATTTTTAATCAGTGCCTCAGACTTGGCTACTTCCCCTCGTGTTGGAAGTCAGCTAAAGTCATACCTGGTGTATATAGTAGTTGTAGGTTAGTTATAGTTGTAAATAGTAGTTATAAGTAGTCTCCTTTTTCAAATTTAAAACAAACCAATCCCACCAAGGTGGTCATACTTAAAACAGGGCCGATAGGACTAGGAACTGTAATTAATAATTAAAATCTCTAATGTACAAAAGTTGAAAAGACGCATCTGTGTCACTTGATAAATTATACATGTAAACCACACAAATACAAGAAATATAGATCATTTAAAGTCAAAAAAAAAAAAGATGTGAGGCATAGCAGATTGGTGGTTGTAGAGCGACCGCCAGTAAACCCGTGTTGATCAGCACTCAGATACTGCTTGCTGTGA